GGGTGGCAGCAGATGGCCTGTCTGCCCGGAGCCAGCACAGCTCTGGGGAACTGCACAGACTCTGATCCCCTCTGGGGACAGTATCCCTGGGCCTCAGTTTCCACACCTGAGACATGAGGGGTTGCACCCTAAAGACCCTCCAGCTCTCGGGTTTGGGGGCTCATTCTCCTTTCCCTCTGGCTGTTTCCGGCATTGGAGTCATGCTGGATCCGCCCCCCACCAGTGCTGGTGCAGGACCCGAAGCCAACCCTTCACTCTCATGTCCCCCTCTCTGGGGGTGTGATGTGGTCTCCCCCAAGTGGCTGTGGGTGAGATGCCACCATGGAGCGCTCTGCCCGGGGGGATGGGACCCGAGCGTCGTCCCCAGCCGCCAGTGGCTGAGCAGAGGCCCAGGCAAGGACCAGATCTGGCCGGTCTCCCGGTGGTGTGTGTTGGACGTCGGAGGAATCGCTGTCCCCGGGGGTCACCTCGGCTGACCTTGCTCTGTGATTAATGCGTGCAGTCTGCAGAGCAGGTGGCATTTGGCCCCAGGGTCTGGGCTAGCCTGGACTGTCCCGCCCACGGCTGCCCGGCGCCGGGCCCTTTGCCCCGTCTGGCTGCGCTGCGGGTAAGCTTGGCGTTTCTGCCTCATTGACACGTCCTGTGGAGCTGCGGCAAGACCGGGTTGGAGACCCTGCCGTCGCGATGCGCGTTATCAAGACAGCGTCACTGCCGCCTCCAGGGAGCTGAGAGAGGGAAAATTCTGCCCACTATCCCACCACACTCAGTGTTTATTTCCTCCGGTTTGCTGCCAGCTCCCTTCTGGAGCCGTGGCCATGAGCACACCTGACTACTGTCTTCTCCCCCCACCCTGACTGTTGTTCACAGCTGTGTAATATTTCACGGAGCGGATGTCGCAGATTAGCGTTGATTACTCCTCTGTGGTCGAACGTCCAGACTTCTCCTTTTCTGTTGTAAGCAATGCTGTCCTGAGTATCTCTGTAATTCCTACAGCTTTTTTCCTTCAAGTCAGCAAACTCTCAAAGTAAATTTTTTGTGGGATTTTTGTTGTTTTTTTATTAAGTGATGGGGTCTCACCCCGGCTAGAGTGCAGTGGTGCAATCATAGCTCACTGCGGCCTCGAACTTCTGGTCTCAAGCGATCCTCCTGCCTCAGCCTCCCGAGTTGCTTGGGACTACAGGCACTCCCAGGTCTAATTTTTATTTTTAATTGACAAATAATAGTTGTTTCAGCAAGCCTTTATTGAAAACTGCCCACATGCCAGACTGCGTGCAAGGTGCCTATAGAATTAAGTCTTTAGGACAGGCTTCCGGGAACGGGGTTGAGGAACACGACTCTTCCTGCGGATCTTAACGCCGCGCGAGTGCTCTCGTGCGTTCGGCCTCCTTCCCTCGTCTGTTCCCTCCATGTTGTTCTGTGCATGGGGGTCTGTCCCTGGCATCGCTGGGAGTGACTAGACCACAATTCATCCATTCCACTGTTCACGTGCACTGGGGCTGTTTCCAGTTTGGGGTCCTCATGAGCAGAGCCGATTGGTGCACATAAGCCTATTTCTCTTGTCACGTTTGTGACCCAGGAGTGGGACTGCGGGGTCCCGCGGCGTTCGTGTGTTTAGCTGTAGGAGGTGCCGCACTTTCCCAGTGTGCCTGCCGCACTGTTTTGCACGCCCACCAGCCACGTGAGGGATCCCACAGCCCAGCGCCCTTGCCGACGCCTGGCGTGGTCAGAGTTCACTCCGGCCCTTCGCGGGGTGTGTGGTGGTGTCGCCCGGGCTCCTAATTCGCATCTCACCGCGGGCTGGCGAGGCAGAGCACCTTTTCTTGTGTGCGGTGGTCCTCTGGACACCCCCCCACCCCTGAAGTCCCTGGCGAACCTTTGTGAGCGGGACACGCACAAAGCAGGTGTAGCTCCTGGATCGGGATTCCCGCAGGAATACTTGGAAGGCCGTGGGGCCCGTGACGCCGCCTTTCTGAGCTCAGGGCATGCTTCCCGTGGAGCGACAGAGCACACGTTGGACCCCGCGCAGCTCCCAGGGAGGGGCAGCCTGGCTCCGTGGAGTGTGGAGGCCCTGCCTCTAAGAGACCTTGTTCCCAAACAGACGGACCAGGACAGGACAGAGTTCCTGGGTGTGAGCCCTGCTCTGCCACCTGGAGCTCTGGGCAAGACCCTCACCTGTCCTTGAGCTTCTCACCTATCAAGGGGAATATTGGTGCCACCTTCCAGGATAGCAGGTCCCCCTCAACGCCACTGCCACCAGCTAACGAGATTCCCCAGCCCAGCACCGGGCTTGGAGTGGCAGCGATGACCCTAGCCCCTCAGAGTGGGACTGAGCAACTCCAGCTGCCCCCAGGGCCGGCGGGGGGCACGTGGGGCACAGGCGGGGGCACGCTGGCACCGCCTCTCTGCACCCCGCTCTCTCCCGGCCACCTGCAGTAGATGTGGGGCCTCCCTGCCGCCTTTCCTGAAAGGAGAGGAGGCAGGTGGCATTTCTGGGGAGGCCTCCTGTGAGTGCCCTGCCCTGGGCCCTGGGTCGGGGCGTGTGCAGGCTTCTCGGGGGTTTTGGCCGTTGGAGTGCGCGTTGGGAGGGGCTGGGCCAGCTCTTTTTAGCTTAAACGCACACCAGGTGCTTACCGTGTTTTTCTCAAAATATTATGAACAGCTGTCAGAGGCTCCTCCGCTGCGTCGGGCCCAGTGCCCAGGCTGGCCCCTCTGCCAAAACAAGTGTCTTAGGTGAGCCCGGCCTGTCACCTGCTAGCCCAGGCCCCTGGCTCCTGGTGGGGTCTGGACCAGGCCAGCCCAGGTGGGGAGGAGACAGACTCCCAGCACTGGCTCTGTGACCCCGCAGGCCAATCACCCTCTCTGGGCCTCCAGGTTGTCAGCCTTAAGAGGAGGTGGTGGCACCTACCTCCCTGGGCTGCTTGAAACCAAAGGAGCGAAAGTGTGGAGGCCCTTGCCGCACCCCCAGAGGGACGACTGTCTGCGACCGCCACTGTAATAAATAACATTATATTCAGCTCGGGGAAGTGGGCCGAGGGCAGCCCCGGGGGGACACAGGCTGGGTCAGCACCACCTCTGTCTCAGAGCAGTCCAGAGTGGCCCTGTGCCGCCTGTCCTCTGGTCCGGCCACACAGGCGCCAGGCATTGGCTGAACAGGGCTTGCTCAGCAGCCACAGAGCAGGATTGCAGGGCTTGTCCCTGGTGGCCTAGCTGGGGAACCAGGCCACCTTGAGAACCTTGGAACCTTGAGAACCAGGCCACCTTGAGAACCTTGGAACCTTGAGAACCAGGCCACCTTGAGAACCTTGGAACCTTGAGAACCAGGCCACCTTGAGAACCTTGGAACCTTGAGAACCAGGCCACCTTGAGAACCCTCAAGGTTCTATCGAGAGCCCCTTGGGGAAGTCACCCGAGACATTTGGGCATCAGGACCTGCCTGCCATCCACAGGTGGTGCTGCCCTCCAGGTAGTGAGGCCAGAGCCAGCCAGGAGGACCCGCTAGGAGGAGGCCCATTTGTCCGCCCACCCTAACACGGTGCCTGCCACCGTCCGTCCGTCCACCAGGCCGAGCACCTCCTGTGGCCACCCTGCACCGGCTGCGCCAGCTTGGGGGTCTCCACCACAGCCCAAGTGGTGATGAGTGGCTGTTTGCGCAAGGTCACACAGAGGTCAGGGCCAGCCCAGTCCAAACCCACAGCTCTGCGACCTGAAGCCCAGGCATCCTCTGCCACACCCAGCCACCCAGAGCTTGCCGGTGGACCAGCAGGAGGGTGCACATGCTCTGCTGGGCACCCCAGCCGCCCTGCTTCACCCGAGCCTGGGCCCGGCCGTGGGAGGCTCAGGCCTGAAACGCCTTCTGGAAACTAAAAGGGAGAGAAAAAGAAAACCACACTTACTGTTTGGACAACCCGTGGGAGTCTTGGGGGGGGGGGTGCGATGGCTCGACTTGGGGTGCCCTGGGGTGCCAGGGAGCTGCGTCTGCCCTCTGTGGGTGCCCTTCCCACAGCATGTCAGCCCCCCATTCTGGAAGATCCCGGCCAAATCTCCGGGGCCCGCGTCCCAGAGGCCTCACCAGCCCAGAGGCCTCATTCCTTCGCCATTCGTGTGTTCGGGGGTGGGCTGGGCCCTGGAGGCCACGGGGCAGGGCCTGGCAGAGGGGTGGGTGAGGAGGCTGCTCCAGGGGAGGGGGCACCGAGTGTCGCTTGGGCCGTGGGGGGACGTGAGTGTTGGGGAGTCGGAGGGTGGGGGCAGTGGGCGTGGCCGGCGGCGAGCGGGGCCAGCTCCGGGCAAGCTCGTGGGCCGGGTAGGGGAGACTGAGACTGGGCTTGGCGTTGTGGGGGGACCTGCCAGACCTCGGGCCGGTCCGGGCACAGCCCGGCTCCCGCGTGCTCTTGCCTCCTGCACCGGCGCCGCCCGAGGCCGCTGCCCTGGGGCGCGGTCCTGCTTTGCCCAAAGGCACAGAGGGCTGCAGGCGGCCAGGAGATGGGCCACGTGCCTCTTAGGCTCAGCTGGGCGGGCCGGAAACAAGGCTAGCCCGGTCTAGGTGTCGGCCTGGGGCGGGTGGTCAGTGCTTCCCAGTCTGGAGCGGTGGGGAGAGGGCGTTTCCTCCTGGGGTGTGAGTCCCCAGCGGGAGTTCTCTGTGGCTGGGTGCTGCGACCGGGTGCCTGGGTCCCGGGCAGTGGGGCCTCCCCGGGCAGCTTGAAGAATTTAGGGTGCACGTGGCCCCTCATGCTGGAGCCTGGGCTCTAGGGAGGACGCGGGGGCCAGGCCAGGGGACCAAGGCCCTGAGCCTCAGGCACCTGCCCTTCTAACTGTCACCCCTCGGCTCATGGGGACGGATGCGCCCCCTGCCCAGATTTCCAGGCGAGCCAGTGCCTGAGTCCCCTGTGGCCAGGAGGATGGAGGCCACCTGATCCTCTGCTTGGGCAGCTGGCTGAGGTTCCTGTGTCCACCAGGAGCCAAGGCCGGGCACGTGAAGCCACCAAGGGAACGTCCCTGATCTCTGGGCGTCAGCGTATGTTGGAGGGTGTCACACAGGTAACCGGACAATTGTAGTCGAGTGAGGGGTCCTCTGAGGGGGTCAGGGCAGGAGCCGTGGAGTGCAGATGGGCACCAAACCAAGGACGTGAGGGCTGTGGGCAGGGAGGCTTCAAGGAAGACTTCCTGGAGGAGGTGACTTGTTTTGGGGGGAGTAAGTCCCAGAGAGCCAAAGTTTTATGACAAGACAGCAAATTCAGAGACCTACAGGGGCAGATGGGGCATGCACTGGAGGGAACATGCTGGTGTGAACAGAGGACAATAGAGAATGGTGGGCAGTGCGGCAAGCTCAGAGCCACTTGCCCCACTCCAGGGAGGGGCCGCCCCATCGCGTCAGCCCTCTGTCGCCATGCAGCGCCTGCCATCGTCAGTGAAGCGTTCACATTTTCAGCTTCTGCTTCTGCAAAGCTCTGTGTGGGCCGGGCCAGGGCCCTACTGTCTGTGTGAATGGGGTAAAGGCCTAAGGGGGCGGGAGGCGGCACCTGCCCCGCACTCCAGCCAGGGTCAGGGGGTTCAGGGACCTTATTTGCCCGTGTGAGGGAGTCTCTGGAGACCAGCAGTGCGCCGGTGGCAGCGGTGCGTCCCCGCCAGTCATTTCGGCGTGTCCTTCCTCTGTTCTCAGCACTGCGTGGTGCCTGCAGGCAACAGGGCAGCGAGAGCCTTGCAGGAAACAGCTGGCGCCATGGGCCGGTTCTGGTCGACGAGGTGCCACCTGGCAGAACCAGGTCGTAAATAAGCCCTGCTTCCTCCCTGTGGACGGGACCGCAGTGCCAAGGTCCCCTGAGAGGCCCCTCCCCCGATGGGCTAGAGCCGGGGCCGCCCAGCTCTGCCCGGCCAGCACGCGCCCCGGCTCGCCTGGCACTCTGGGCCTGGTGGCCGCCAGGCTGCAGATGAGGAGGAGCCCAGGGGTCTTGGCGGCCCCACCCAGGGGCAGCCAGCCGCGGGGCCTGAGGCCCCTGGTGCCCCGTGTGCTGTTCCCACTGTTCCTTTCCCCTCATTTCCCTGTTGCTTTCCGCGCCGTTTTCTCACTGCGGGGTCTCTTCTCAGCGCCGTCTCTGTCCCGGGGGTGCCGGGAGGGGGCCGCGTCCCCGCCACGGGCCTCACCCCCTGGCCCGAGATGAGCCAGCCCAGGTGCCGCGTGGCCCAAGTTTAGGCGCGTGGAGGCCGGACAGCCAGGCTTGGCTCCCAGCTCTGCTGGTCACCTGCCGCGCCTCTGGACACGTTCCCTCCCTTCTGGCGTCTGTCTCCTCATCTCCAGAGCAGGCGCAGTGGGGGCTGACACGGTTGTCGCCCGTGTCCTTGCAGTGCAGGGTCTGTGGCCCACTCCTCTGCCAGCCAGACGAGCTTCCCCTGCATGCCAGGGCAGCAGGCGGGCCTGATTTCCAGTAAGGCCTTGGGCAAGTCCCTTCCTCGGCCTCAGTTTACCCACCAGGGCTCAAAGGCCCTAGGACTGTCCCAGCATGCACCTCCTCCTGCTGGGAGGGACTCCTGTCCTTCCCGGCTAGCGGGTGGGTCAACGGGGCGGGGGCTCTGGGCCGGGGGCGCTGGCCACCGGAAAGGGGTTCAGTTAGCCCAGCCCTGCCGGGCCCAGCTCTGTCTTGGCAGGGCCAGCCCAGCAGGAGGGGGAGGGACCTGGGGCCTAGGCGTGGGAAACAGCTGGTGCAGCCCCTCCTGTCTCTGAGTGGCATCCCCACCCACACGGGCACGTGCAGGGAGGTGTGACTCGGGCGGGGGGTGCACAGGACCCCACCTCACTCCTACCTACCTCTGCGACATGCCCGACAGGCCTCTGGACAGGCAGGAGGGAGGGGCAGGTGGCCACCACAGCTCCTTGGGGGGTGCCCGAGCCAGGCCGGGACAGCACGGGGGACCTGGGCCCTTCCCCGCTGCCCACAGCCTGGCCGGGCCCCTGCAGCGCCCTCGGCCTGGCTGTCCTCTGGCCTCCGCACTCGCTGGCGGACCGAGGAGGGGCCCGGGGGAGAGGTTTCCTCCTCCCCTCCCCACCCCCGCACGCTGCAGAGGGGCAGGAGGCCAAACTGACCTGGCCACCGCTCCTGTGAAGGAAGCTTGGTGGCATGGCCACCTGCCTGCTTGGAGCTCTGACTCCAAGGGCCGTCCCGGCCAGGCGAAGTGTGTCCACATTCTCCTTCCTGGCCAGGGAGCTGTGGGCCTCAGAGGGGCCCAGGAAGAGGACTCTTTCAAGCCTGGGTCTTCATTTACATATTTTTTCTGCCAAGTGACTTTCCATTAGCCCAGGAAGGCCCCGTCCACGTGAGCTGGCCGGGCAGGGGAGGGCGGGTCTCTGCAGGCTGCTGCGTGGCCCCGGCCCCTTCAGGTCCCGCCAGGCCTGATGCAGACTGGCGAGCAGATGCGTGTGTCCTCCCCAACCCCACGGCCCCAGGCTGTCTCGGGGCAGGCGGCAGGCCTAGTGGGCGGGGCTGGGGGACACAGGCCTGAGGGCTGAACGACCCCGGAGTGAGGACAGGCACCTGAGGGTGCCGTCGGCGACCACTGGGCACCCGGCTAAGGTGCAGGGGCCGGAACTCGGATGCTCGGGCTCCTGTTTCCATGTGATCTCCATGCAGGCAGAGACCGGGCCAGAGTCCCCTGTGTGCCCCTTGGAAGCCACCAGGCCCTGGGTGACACAGGGGCCCTGGCTGAATGCAGACACAGGCCCCTGCCTGGGTTTCTTCATGAGCAGCAGGACACAGCACTTTCCCGGTGGCTCCCCAGGATATCGCCCAAGTCTGGGGACACTTGCCCTAATCCCCTCTGGAGCCCAGGCCTGGTGTTGGCCCAGGGAACAGGGGCATAGGAACAGCCTGTCTGAGGTCTGTGGCCGACTCCACCCACCCCGCCACCCCTCTACGAGGTCAGTGACCCTCAGCACCTGCCAGCAGCCCAGCCCGGTCAGGGGGAGCTGGCTGGACATGGCCTGCCCCACTGGGCCCAGCAGTTTGCCACCGACGGTGTGCACTCCGGACCAGCGGGTAGGCAGCAGGGAGCCCATGGACACGTGCCCAGCGTTCCCGCCATGCCAGTGGCCGGATGTCCCATATTGGCCTTCAGAAAGCCGTGGGCGGGTGGGGGCTCACCCTGTGAGAAACACCCGCTCCAGCCCCAGGGATCTTGGACTCGGGGCTCAGATGGAAGGATGCCCTCTGCTCAGCCTCGTCACCGCCAGCTCCATGAGTCGATGCCCTCTGCCCTTGTCCTCCAGCTCCGTCAGCACAGCCCAGAGTTGGCGTCACCCTGATGCCCGTGTCCGGACGGCTGAACCCAGTGGGCGGCTGCCCCAGCACCCAGCTCTCAGCCATTGCCTTCCCAAAGCAGCAGGGACAAGGACGAGTGCCCCTCCCGGGTGGGCAGCTCTGTGGCCTCCAGTCTGGGATCCTCGGTGCCACCCTGTCCTCCGGGAGCAGACGTGGGCAGGCAGCCTGCTGGGGAGCCCAGGGCAGCGCCGGCCCCTCGGGAACTCCTCCGGGAGAGGCCACACCTGCGTCCCCTCAGTCGCCCTGAGTGTGCCCTAGAGAAGGACGCAGGGAGACGGCCCTTGCTGAGCTCTTTTGCCGAGGCGTCTGGTCACCATTTCCCTTCTGCTGGCACAAAGACTGTCCCTGTGAAGCCGTGCAGGCGGCACGCACAGAAACGCCTCGTTTTCTGCTGCTCACGCATTAGTTGCTTGCATTCTCTGTTTCTGTTCTTTCTACCCGCCTGTCCCCCAGCCCCTGCTGCCTCTGCTTCTCCCGCCCTCCGTGTGGCCTCCCCTCTGTCCTCTGTCCCACCTTCTCCTCTGTGTTCTCCCTTTCTCTGACTCAGTTTCTCTCTCTCTCCTGCTTCTGTTTGTCTCACAGCCCTTGCTGTCGCCGTCCTCCCTCCCTTTCTTGTCCTCTCCCTGCCCTTCCTTCCCCTGATGCTTCCTGGTCACCCACGTCCTGCTCTGTCCCAGCAGGGCTGCTCAGGTCAGGGCGTTGCTTGGCCCCTCCTGCCTTGCCTTCTGTCCCCACGGCCAGGGGGGCTCCTTTGCCGGGTTTCTTGGTTCAGCTTCTGTATAGTGACATCATTGGGGCCCGCAGGTCACAGGGTAGGTCCCCCTGCCTGAGCCGTTGGACCAGTGCCCTTCTTCCTGCCCCCTGCACCGCTCCCTGGGAGCCGCAGCCCTCAGTGCGTCGCATAATTAAGACACAAAGTCTACGAAGACACAAAGTCATGCTGCGTGTGGGCAAACACCGACTGGGGTGCTAATGCAATCGTTTCTTTTAGTGGATTCTTGAATTTAAATGATATGTAATTAAACATAATTAGCCACGCACGCCACTCGGCTAGGTACCGCGTGCAGAGTTGGGCCGCCTGGGGCCTCGTGGCAAAGCGTCTTCCTTTATGGGGGATTCTCGTTCCCTCGGGGGTTGATTCCATTTGTGTGGACAGTGAACCTGGCCCGAGGGCACTTGGTGACCGTGTCCGAGGGGGACAGTCCAGGCAGCCTCTGCCCAGGGACTTGGAGGAGAAGCCGGGGAGGCAGGGTTTGCTGGGAGCATTTTCCTTCTGCTTTGGGCACCCGTACCAACTCTCAACCTCAGAAGTTGGACTCGGGTGGACTGCTGGGACAGTGCGAGGGCGCAGACCCCTGGGCAGGGCAGCCTCGGCCTGGGGCCCCCGGCAACTCCTTGGAAGGGGGGGGGCCGGGCGCCTTGTGCTGCGAGCGGGTTTCCGAGCTGCCCTCAGGCCCCGGGATAGCCGCGCAGCCGGACAGGACACGCCCAGCTCAGCGCAGGCCCTGGCCTCGTGCACACGGGCTGGGCAGAGGGGTGGGAGAGAGCATGCCCGGCAGCCCAGGGGACAGCCTCTCCTGTAGGCACCCTCGCTTGTGCTCACCCCAGGGTGGGCACTGGCCGACGTCCCTTAAGGTCCCTGGTCCGAGCCTTCCTGCCCCTCCTCCACCAGTGCCTGTGGCGGAGCTGGGTCCACCCCACACACCCCCCTTCCCCGCACCTCACGCACGCCGTGTGTCCGTCCGTCTGCCTGTCTGTCCCGCACCAGCCGTGTGCCCAAGGGGCCAAATAGGAACACAGACTGGGTGGCAGGTTCAGGGGGCTTGACCAGTCATGTGGCCAGTAGGTGGACCATGGTTATCCTCATAGCACAGATGAGGAAACTGAGGCAGACAAGCGGCTCTGCGGGGCCTCGAATTACTGACCTGCCAGTGGTTCTGTGCTAGCCCTGTCTCTCTCGCGAGGGTCCCTCCGCCCACTCCACCACCCTCCCATTGGTCGTGGTCCGGACCGAACAGCCCAGGTAGCCGTTGCAGGAAGAAATCCCCATCCCCCCATCAGTCCAACATCCTGTTTGCTCCAAGGACTGAGTCAGAGCGCACACACACACCAGGGAACTCGTACCCCCCACCCCCTCATCGTACAGGCAGGCGTCACACAGCCTGCAGCCGCCTCTTCTGCAGCAGAGGCTGGGGCAAGGACGCCAGTTCCCAGGAGGAAGAAGGTCCACAGAGACCCACGGAACAGCGGATGACCAGGACCAGGCGGCCGAGCCTCTTCTGTGGGGCCCAGAGAGTAACGGTTAGGCTTTGCAGTGCCTTTTAGTCCCTATTGCACTGCTTTCTTTTACAACAGTTTAAATTACAAACAGGCTGCAGGCCCCACGACGCCAGTGCTGGTCACAGATGCCTTTGTTTGCAGCATCCTTTGGCTTTTCAATATTGAGGTATAACGTTTGTAAAGTGCACTAAAAGTGAACAGCATGGCATTTCATGTGTCCACCCGTTAGCCCCACCCAGGTCAAGATCTAGAACATTCCCAGCAACCAATCACATCCCAAGAAAACCACCATCCTGACCTCTTCGCCACGGCCCACTTTGCCAAGCCTGGACCCTGTGTGGGCGGAACCACCCAGTCTGTGTCCCCGGAGTGTGGCTGACGCTTCCCCCGCGCCTGGTGCAGGGTGCGCACCCAGCGGACTGTTGTGTCGAGAGTTGTTCCAGAGGCGCGAGTCTGCCGCGATCTGCCCTTCCGTCCTCCCGCAAGGGACGTTCGCACAGTGCTTGCTTTCTGCTATACAGTCAAAGCTGCTTGAACATTCTAGTCCATGCCTTGTTGGGGAGCGTGAAGATGCGTTCTCAAGGTACGCACAGTGGGTGCGGTCAGTGGGGTCATGAGTGGGCGCCACACCGGTCACCAAAGTGGCGGCCGTACTCCAGGACACTTGACAACGCCAAGTACCCATCTCAGTGCTGATGGAGGATAACATAAACCTTAAATTCCCACTTTCACTAGATGGAGAACATCCTGGGTGCCGTCACAGGATGGAAGGATGGAATAATAGTCCCGTAAAACACCTACACTGACACGAGAGCTATCGTGCGTGGGCTGCCGAGGGAGCGGGTAGTGGTGGGGGTCCCCGCACTCATGCCCTTGTCCCCAGGACTCGTAGTGTGGGGCCTCACCTCTGGGGGCGTCGGGTGCGCTCCATGGCACCTGACAGCAGGCGCCACCCTGGGGAGGGCCAGAGGAGCGATGCCCACGGGCACTGGTATGTGCAGGCGGACTCTGTGCTTGGAGTGGGCACTGAGACCCTGTTGCCCTTTCTGGGTGGGGGTGGGGCCGCCGTGGAAGCTCATGGAAGCTCTGACACCCAGGACACTGGGCTGGGAGTAGAACTGGGTCAAATCCCAGCTCTGCTTTTCCCTGCTGTGTGACCTTGAGCAAGTCTCTGAACCTCTCTGAGCTCTTTCCTCACCCGTTCAAGGTGGGGGTAACCACCTCTTCCATGGATGTAAGAAGAGAGGGATGTGAGACCTGTGGATGCCGTGCCCGGGGACAGTGCAGGACGGGAGGTGGCCACAGCCCCTCACATGAGGGAGTTCTAGGGGCTGTGGTGCACCCTCCCCCGGCACAGGACAGCCCCCTGCAGTGTTTGGGGGGATTCTCCTTGCCAGGAGGTGGCTCCCAGGCCACTGAGCTGAAGACCCTTTAAAAGAAAGGGTTGCCCGTGTCAGTCGTAGGTAAAGCCCTGTGCAGAAACCAAACCCTTTGAAAGGGACAGCTTGGCTCTCAGATGCTGTCAGAACCAACTTCTACCACTTCCTTCCAGACCAGGGAGGGAGCTTCCGAGGTGGTGGTGCCGGCTGCCGGGAGGGTGTGGTCTCCCTGCTTTCTCAGGGAGCTCGGGTCAGGCCTTGGGGTGATCTGAGCAGCAGGTCCCTCAGCAGTGCTAGGTCTGCAGAGGGACAGGCCCCACTTCCTGCCAAGCTGCTGCCAGGCCTCTCTGGGTGCAATGTCGTGGGGGCCAGCGGGGGACAGGCCCAGCTCCGGCTCAAGCCCTATCGGGGCTGCCCATGCCTGGCATGAGGTCCCACCTCCTCCATGACTGGCCTCTGGGATGTCCCCACGAGCCTGCCCTGACCCCTACCCCTCCCCACCCATGTGTCCTCATGTGCCTTTTGGACTCTGCCCATGGCCCCCCTGTGCACGAAGTGCCCGGGCCTCATAGGTCCCCGGGCATCCAGCAAGATGTGGGGAGGACTCTGGCGACTGGATGATGGCTTTGGGGTGGTTCCATCCCCAGGATCCCAGCCAGAGAGTGGCTTTTCCAGGAATTGGGGCTGCTTGTCACGCAGGAGCAGCCTCTGAGAGCAGGGAGCAGTGGCGTGTGCGCCCGGGCAGGCGGGGCTCTGGGTCTCCATCCCTGGCTGTGCCCACGGCACACGAACAAACTGGGCTGCTCCCACTGGGCACGGGGCCAGGCCGGGGAGGTGGGGGGCCCACGGGGCTCAGAGCAGGGTGCCCTCATGGTCGTCCTCAGTGGGTTCGAGATTCTTCTGCTGGAGGCATGGACCGAGCCAGGTTTGGGACGGTCCAGGCAGGGGGAGCAGCAGGGAGGGAGGTGTGTGCGCCTGAGCGGGGTGGGCCACAGGCCGGCTGCCAGCTGGGCACTGAGGGGCTGGAGGGCTCCTTGGGGATAGGCCAGGCCAGCGCTAGCTGCTGGGAGGCAGCTTCCCTGCAGCCCCCAGGGTGTGGCTTCAGAGGGAACACCCTGGGTCACTGACTAACATATGGCCGTACTCTCCAGGCCCACGGACGAGCACCATCCGGAAGTGAAGCCTGACGGGTACGTGGACAACCTTGCGGAGGCCGTGGCCCTGCTGCTGCAGCACGCAAACAAGTGACGGGCCTCCTGGGAGGGCCCAGCCTCCTTCCACCTGCCTCTCCTCCGCCCGCCCGCCCAGACCACCCCGGGCCCTAAGAGCCCAGCCCTCTGCCCTCTGCCCCTCATGGGCAGGCAAGGGCCCTTCTGGACTGCCCTGCCCCCAGGCCGGAGCCAGCCAGCCCTTCCTCTGCCTCCCTCCACTGGCCCCGGCCTACCTGGTTGCCTGCTCCCCTGCCTGGGCCCTGACCTTGGCTCCTTTGGTGAGGTCCAGGAGGGTGGGACAGACCTGTCAGCCTCTGCAGAGTGGAGACCCTCTGGGCACGGCCTGGATCCCTGAATTCACTCACTGCTGTTTGCACCTGACCCCGGCAAGGCAGCAACCTCCGCCTCGTTCGGTCCGGAGGCCTCGTGCCCGTGGCCTCTTCATCGGATGCTGCATTTCGGCGAGGAGCCTGGAGAAAACCCAGGGCCCCCCGGCACTGCCCAGCCCTCCCCCAAACCATGCCACCCCCCCACAGAGACTGGGGCCAGCTCCCAAGGAACGCTGAAGACCACCGTCCTACGGAGCAAGAACTGCCCCTGCCTCCTAGGTTGTGGGCGCAGATGGAGCCGTGACCGGGTGTGCGGGAGCAGCCTGCGGGTTCAATAAATCTGCCGTGGACAGCAGCCTGTGCCTTGTGCTTTCACTGCTGGGAAGGGCTGCGTGGGAGGGGGCCATGAGCAGTGTCCCAGGCACTGTCCCTGGTTCTGCCATGTGCCCACGCCACCGAACACCAGCGGACAAGGGCCCTGAACACCTCACCTGCTCCGACCCCTGTTGAACACACGGGGAGACGAGCCCTGAGAGGACAGTGGGCTGCCCTTGGCCCCACCAGGGACAAAGCCGACCAGGGCAAACTGTGGTGCAGCCGCCCTCCCTAACGGAGCCGCCCGAGGCCTGGCGGCGGCGAGCGTCCCATTCCAGACCAAGGGAGCAGCGGCGTCCCCTCGAGGCCTCTGGGACCAAATTCACTCATAACCCAAGTTTCAGGTTTCAAAATCAATCAGTTGAGTAGATAACTCAATTGCTCCATTCCTCCCCAAATCAACTCAAAAGCCACTGATAAACCTTGGGAGAAGTCACGGGTCCTCCGTAATAGGGTTTCCATGAAATGAAGGCAGCGACGAGGAAGTGCTGGCCCCTGAAGCCTGGGCCTAGCACGGTGGCTGAGAGCAGGTGGGGGACGTATGTCTGGCCGGGCTGGGCACCCTTAAATCAGGGTTAGGAGGGCACGGTGGCCACGTCTTTTCATCAAATAAGAGGCCACCGGCCAGGCTGGTGTCACTGGCACTGCGGCCTATTAGGTGGAGTATGCAGATGCCTTTCTCCTGGGTGGAGTCCCCTGATGACAGCTGTCAGGAGACGGACAGGGAGCGACCGTCAGGCCTGGGCTGGGAGGGCACCGTGCCGTGCTGCTGGGTGTGCTGTTTGTAGTGGGCTTCCCTTGCTCGCAGCCAGGGCAGCGCCCCGGGGAAGGGCTCTTGCTCCCGACACGCCGAGTCTACTCTTCCAAGTTGCAGCCTAGAGTGGGGTGCAGAGGGACAGCTCCTGGGGGACAGACCACTCTGTGTCTGGGGAAGAACTGCCGCCCGCCGCAGGGGGCTCGGCGAAGTACATGTTGTCACTCTTCCCACTTTACAGATAAAGAGTCCGAGGAGCAGAGGGACGAAGTGACCCCACCTGTTAGGGACCTGTTAGGGGCTGTTAGGGACCAGAGGTTCATCCAGGGCCACTCTGCCACATCCCCAGGGCAGTGTGCTTGGCAGAAGCTTCCCCTGGATGAGAGGGCTGGCTGGGAAAGTCAATTCGCCCTGCCTCAGGTCAGCCCTGAGCCTTGGGTGCTGTGAGCCCGCTGGGGGAGGGTGGGGGGCTCGAGCCACCTGTTTCTTGAGCTAGGTGTTCACACACCGTTCTGTCTGGGAAAGGATCTGCCGTGAAAAGGCAGAGCCTATTCTCAGAGTGGGATCCTCGGGACCTAACGTGTTCTACGCAAAAATTCTGTGGTCAGATTATGTGGGAAAACATTGGGTTATGGAAATTAAACAAACCTCTTCATGCTTGTCTGGAAGGCTGTAAACCTCCCCGTGTGTCCTGAGCTTGGCTGGCCCGAGGGCCAGGCACAGAGTGTGTGAGTCCACACTGGGCTGAGCTGCGTGCTGATGTCCCCACGGCCCCACTGGGGCAGCGGCCCGGAGCTGGTGGCCCCCTCTGAACCGCCTCCTGGGCTACCTTGGTGGGTAGGTGGCCATGGCTACCCCGGCCATAGCCTGGCCTCTCAGCATCGGTGAAGGCAGAGCCGATGTGCCCACAGGGCAGGCTGCACAGGGAAATGCAGGCTCCTCCCACTCCAGTTGGCGAGAGAGTCTCCCCTCTGCCATCCTGGGGTCCCCGGCTCCTGGCTGGGGTGCGGGGCTGGGCACCTCTACCCTAAGTGCACGTACACACCACACGCTGGGCACCGCTTCTAGAAGGCTCCACTGTGGCCGCCCTGCGTCGGAGCCCCTCACAGCCCTGTGACTCTCTGTCATCCCCATTTTATGGATCCCAACCCTGAGGCCTAGAGGGGACAGAAAAGTCCAGTCTGCGCCCCTCCCAGCCCAGAGCCAGTGCCCCCACAGGCAGAGGGGAGCCCTGCTGGTTCACCCCACCCAACAGAACCACACAGCCGGCTCCAGGCGCTGGATATTGAACCAGGAAGCTTTATTTACACAGTAAAAGTAACAAGCAAATTCCTGAGAGACTAGAGCGGCTCTAGTGCAAGTCGCGGCCTGTGCAGGGCGGACAGGCTGCGGTGTGGGCGGGGCGGGACAGGACACAGGCCCGGCTCTCAGTATGCAGACTGCTTTGCCCCAGGGCCAGGGCCTGGCCCTGGCCCGACACTGCCCCTCTGGTCGCCACACTTCCTGAAGCTCTGCAACACCAACATCTGGTTTGGGAAAGCTCGCTACAACCCTAGACATAGCCTATGTGCCATCTGTCACCCACGTCCCCAGGACATCTCCCCCACGCACTGGAAACACAAATCATTTGCCAAAAAGACTATGCTAGAAGGTCATATCTATCCTACCTAGGCTACAAGATCTCCATTTCAGTCTGCAATTTTTTTTAAAACAATTTTTTTCTCTTTTTTCTTTAAAGAGGCATGGTTTTCTCAAACTGGCGCCAGTGGGAGAGGTTTGACCAACAGCGTGGACGTGGCAAGGTGTGGCATCATTGCCTGTATGGGGGCCAGAGTGCCTGGGCCGCACCAGCTGCCCTCGGCTGCACTGCCCCATCCCAGGCACCTAGTGTTTCAGCAGTCATTGTTCAGGTGACCACCCCTGTGACCACAGAGCACATGTGACTGTAACCTCCTCTGCGGAAACGGGGGCGCAGCCGCCTGTGGCACGGGGCCCAGGGATCCAGGGCGTGTCTCGTTGCAGGGCAGCCTGCTCAGACAGCACAGCCAGGGCATGGCCGATCGCACCCCCCATGCTAGGAGACCCATAGGGAAATTGGGGTTTCTTTTCAATGCGGACTTTTATTTAAATTTTCTTTCAGTGTACAAATTCATAAAACTTTCCTGCTACAAAAACTTTTTGAAAAGTAAGGCTTTCTGAGAATGAAAATCTGTACGTCTGGTCAGAACGAGCTCCCTGTGGGCCTGGGTGGGTGTCTGCCCGGGCCTGGGCCAGCTCTGGCCTCCACCGTGTAAGGCAAGAGGGTTGGCGGTAATGTAAACGGGGAGGCCGCGGCCTGGCCCCACCGGGTCCCCACAGGCACACGCAGATCCTGGTAGTTGAGTGGCTTTGGAGTGGGGATGCCATGTGACAGCGTGCCCCTCCTCCCCAACCAGCCGTCCTGGGGCCACAGCCCACTCTCGTCCTTCAGGGCGCCCGGGTGGGCGGCCTGGCCCTGCTCTTCCTTAGTCTCCCCTCAGAGGCAGGACTCACGGGCAGGGCTGCGAAAAAGCGAGATTCCTGTGGGGAGAGCCTGCCCATCACCCAGTGCCCCATGGGGACAACCACCTGGGACTGTCTCCTGGGCGAGCCTCCCTCCAAGAGGTCCAAGACCAAACGTCCCGGAGCCAGCGGAGCGGAGTGCGGGAATGGGCCTCTGAGGGCAGTGCGGCTGCTTAGGTGATGGGGATGGAACCTTCCAGATGGGGTCTGCTCTCTCCAGTCAAAAGACAAACATGAGACCAAATGAAGGCCATTTCTTCCTCTAAGCAGAAGGGACACCTGCCGTTTTCTCCCCTACCTGCTGCTGCGTGTGGAGGCAGGAACAGCCAGGAGGGGCCTGAGGAGGCTGGGAAGGGCCAAACGCTACCGCGGGCCGGATCACCTCTGCCTGCAGCGCCTGGGTGGGGCCTGCTGGTCGGTGGGACCCGGGCAGAATGAGGCCATGACTTGGCCAACTGCACTGCTTGTCCTTCCCGCCACCAGGCCTGAGGGGGAGGTGACAGGCAGGGTCTGAGGGTAGGTCATACTACAGCTCTATGATCACACTGGCCACCACGAGCCGCCCCTCCTGGTCCTGAGCAAGGGCACCTGGGGGCTGCCGCACGCCTGGCCTGGGCTAGCACTGCCCTCCTCCCTGCAGCAGGTGGCCACTCCAGGTGCCAGGACCCCCCCATTCCAGGCTTTCTGAGGACATGACACACTGCCATGTGCTCCCCAATTCACCCAACAACTGCCCCCACCTCCCCCAGATATGCTCTAAGAAGACACGGTCCATAGGACCAACTAGGCAGAGATCAGGCAAGACCCCTTCATCTACCCAGAGCCCCCAGCTCCCTGCTTTGGATTTCCAGGGTCCCAGGTGGCCATGCCTCTGGTAGGAGCTACAGCAAACCCAGGGGAGCTGATCACCCGCTCCGGGACCTGCCCAGTACCTGGCACATCCAGGCTCTGCAACCTGGGCCACTGGGGTGGGGCTTTCTGCAAGCATCTTATGGCTGATTTTTAAGAAACACCACCCACACATCAGACCTTGAGCCACCACCCTTTTGATGTAGTAAAAAGTGAAGGTTTAAACAAAGTTTCCCAAACAGGGTCTTTCTTTAGGAAAAAGGTGAGAACCATTTGGACTCAACCTGCAGAAGTGAGGCATTCACTCGTCCACAGAAGACGAGCAAAAGCAAAGTGACTACAAAAGTGCCTTTATCACGTGGCAGCAAACTCAAGAGAATGCACAGGTTATTTTTAGCTTATGGGAAAATGTGCCACTCACTCACAAGCCAGCCCAGTTGCTATTGTCTGCAGAAGACGCCAAGTTTGCTAAAAGGCAGATTCCCAGAGAGCAGAGCCCATGTGGCAGGCATGTCTGCAGGCAGGCTGGAGGAGAGCTGCCCCAGAGCAAACCCCGGGGGTCAGAGCCCCTCACGATGCCAGGGACTGCGCCGGCTGTGAGGAGCCAGGGAGGGCACGGCGCGGATGGAGCTCTGTGCCACGGCTGGGCCCACGGCCTCAAGGCAGCACTTAGTGCTGGGCGGCCCTCAGCTGACACAGGTGTGGGCCTGTCTCAAGGTGGATGGTGCGCCTGAAAGCCAGCAGCTCCCCCAAACAAATGAGAATGTGCTTGGAACACTGCAGGGGGGCTCGGACCACCCCCCATCCTGGGCCCCTGTTCATAGCTCTTAGTGCCTGACGATGTTTTCAAGAGGTTGCCTTTTTATCGTGACATCTCTACACTCAGCTGAATCAACTAAACGAATCCCTTCGTGACTGGTTAGCCATGGAGAAGAGCTGCCATCTGCCAGCCTTGCCAAGGTAGGCCCAAAGTGACAGAGCCCCAGGTCAGGCTCTCCATGCCACGGGAGAGGCAAGTGAGTGTCTTTTCAGCCAGTAGATTCACCAAATCCCTACCCAGTGTGGACAGCCTCTAACAAGCACCCCAAGTCGCTCCCTGGACCCCAAGAGTTCAAACATGGACTTACCTGCTGGAGGGCCACTCCAGCACCCCAGAATCTCTGCCTCCCACACTTGGAATTAAGGCCAAATGGTTCTGGTGTCACTACAGAAGGAAGCATCTCCGGAACCTTCCCAAGCCTGAAGCAGGGAGGCCTGGGAGAGAAGGCACGGAATAAAACTGAGTGAAAGAAGCTGTGGGGCCAACTCCCCAGCACTGAACCTGAGCGAGGCCAAGAAGGGCCTGACATCCAGACAGCCCTGGCCCAGCCCCGAGCCCAGGCCCTTCTGCCAACCTTGTCAGGGGATGCAGAGAGGCGCCCAGCTCTACTGGGGAAATGACAGACACTGCCTGACATCCCACAAGAAAGAAGGCGGAGAGACCCAAACTGAAGAGCTGCTCTCCGGGCTGCAGTGGTTCTGTGGACCGGTGGCCACCACGCTTGGGTAGCTAGAGAGAGGCTGACACACCCCACTGCACAGCGGTGGCCAGGCTAGCCTTCACAGAACCAGGACACCGCGGCCAGACAGCCTCTCCCTGGGAGGTGGGCAGGCTCCCTCTCCGGGTCCCAGCACCTCTCAGGAGACTTTCGTCAGGCCCAGGAGTTGGGCTCCCCCTTCAAATGCCACCGGAGGCCCATCGACTTCAATGCACCCCCAGCCCTGAGCGGGGCCCACCGCCCTCAGTTGTTCTCTATTTGTTCAATGTCCAACTCGCCATCCAGGGAGCAGAGGCTGTTCCCGGCGGCCCCATGGTCCCGCCAGGCTGTGGCCAGCTCCCCTCTCCTGCTGCAATCCTCGTCCAGGGCGCAGCCGTCTGACTCCTCACAGGATAGGTCCTCCTGGCAGGTAAGCTGGTCGTCGAAGGAGTGGGGAAGAGGCTCGGGGACTGGGGTCCCGGCAGGGGTCCTGCCCCCCGGGCCAGAGGCCGAGAGCAAGGTGGTCCAGGCCCTGGTGCTGCTGGCGTGGAGGGCGAAGGGGCTCTGGGGGCCGCAGTCCTCCATCCCCGCGCTCAGGCAGCTGAGGCTGCTAAAGGTCTGACAGTTCTGTGGAGAGGCAGACACACAGGTTACCCAGGGACTCCAGGACTGTGTGCCCCACAAAGCAATCTGTCCCCCAGGCTGTGGCCAGACTCCCAAATCCCACGCTCCTCCACCATCTGGGCAAGGACTAGGGGCCATCAGCAACTCGCTCCTGAAGAAACACTCTGGCTGATGAGCATTCTGTGCTAATAACGAAACGCAAAACTCAATTTTTCACCCACTAAGCTGGCAAAGAATGAACACTCGTGAGTCCCCAGGTCTGGGAGGCTGTGCACGGCCCTCCCGGACAGTGACCTGGTGAAAACACACGATTCCCTGCGTAGGTAATTTTACTACTAGGATTTTTATCTTAAGAAAAGGTTAAGAAGTGTGTAAAAATTCAGCAACATAAATATTCCTAGTCACAAAGTTAAATGGAGAAGAAGAGTAGCCCCAACCCCCCCATGACAACTGAATAAAGTATGTAGTCAGACAAGGGACTGCCACGTGGCCATCACACAGAGCACGGCAGCAGAACACACAGCGACATTGCTATGAGAAGGGGCCCGAGTTAGGCGGAAACGTGGCCAGGCTGCACTGCTGCCCGTGTGGGGACACAGTGCCCACCCATCCACTTCCCATGGCCAGCGAGGGGAAGAGGGGGCCAGGAGGGACTGAGTTGATATCCCAGGCCTGGTGCACAACAGAGCCATCCAGAGAGCTGGTCTGAATCTGAGTTCTGGACTCCACCTGGAGACGCTGACTCTCTGGAGGGAAGTGGCTCTGTGCCTTCCGCAGGCACCGGGGCGTGGGGGCGATCTGCCGGGGGCGGGAGCGGGGGTGGCACCAGGTGGACTCCAGGTTCTGGCGTTCACGGCTGGGAGCCTCAGGCAGAGCTCTCAGGCGTCTCATCTGTAAGAGGCGTGTGAGGGTCCCTTGCCTGCCTCCCAGGGCTCTTTGCAGCCCCAGAGAGAGAACATGGCTGCCCAAGAGCTTCCCTGCTCGCCAAGTACTGCCTGTGTAGGGGGCTGGCCGGGGGCCTGCCCTAGCATGGGTGCGGCTTGAAGACGACTTCAGGGGTACACTGGCCCACCCTGCTTGGAACCACCCACCAGCAAGAGGGGGCAGGCCTGACACTGTGCACCCGTGGGTGCAGTTCAGCACCTGCTCTCATAGCAGAGCACAAAACCAGGCCTTCTCCTCCCCAGAGACAGCAGCGTGGTCCGGCGGCAGACAGGACAGAGGCTGAGACGGCGAGGGGCGCTCTCAGCCCACATCTCCAGCGGGACCAGCAGCAGCGAGCTCCTGCCCCAGAGGGGCGCGATGAATTGGCCACGCACAAAGGCAAGGGAGAGGCATTCTGGGCTCATGAGTGGGGGCCAGGGGAGCAAAGGCTGGAGCACCCGCTGCCTCCCGTGCCGCATGCCGCCGATGCCAGGATCACAGACCTGTCCCAAGGGCCCTGATCCTTTCAAAGGCTGTGGTGTTTGCATGTTGCTTTGAAATAAAGATGACCACTGGCTGTCACAGTGAACAAGCTGTTGAAACAGCCTCGGCAAATGAAAAATAAAAGGCGCTCTCTCTGGAGGAAGGTGGCTGTGCATGCTGTGGGCTCGCTCATTGTTCCCGAACATTCCATGGAGGAAACTGTCCTGATATGTTTGCTTTCTTGGAATCTTTTGATTTACTGAGAAAGGTGAAGGCTGAGGTGGGGATAGGGGGAGCTCAGCACTGGGACTGAGGAAAGAGGGCAGGGCCACCAGTCAGAGCAGAGACGCCTGACCACAGAAGGAGCCAGGTCCCTGCTGGGCCATGGGGCTTTAGTGCTGCCCCGGCGTGCATGGCACACCTTTCCTCCCCCACCACAGCAGAAAGCTAGAGGTCGCAGCTCATGTAAAATGGCCCTCAAGATCCTCAACAGACCAGGGCAGGCTTGGACAAAGGATGAGCAATTCCTGAAGCAAACCTGCCGCGTGGCAGGGCTGAGGCCAGAAGCCTATGATGTTAGGGGCCCCGTGGCCTCTTCTGTCTCTCAGCCGCCCCTGAAACTGGCCTAGGCCTGAGCCAGGACAGAAGGAGAACCGAGTAGGGGGCACAAAACCAAGAGAAGATGGTACCTCTGGGCAGCCCCAGCCCATGTATCCCCGGACAGGAGGCCCAGGGGTGAGGCCAGGACCCATTGGGAACCCATGGAGCCAGGCCCAGCCTTTCGTCGGCAGAGCAGCCCGTTCCTCTGTCTGGACACAAGTCAGTCTGGTGTGTAAGAACAGTAACATCCAGTGTAAGCCCGAGCACCTCACATGGCATGCTGTGAACAGGTTCTAGGTGGGTGATGAGGCCCAGAGGCCACCAGCCCTGAGGAATCAGCCAAGTCTGTACACCCCAGCGTGCCGAACACCTGGACATGTGCCATTGTTTTCTGAGGGCTATAAAAAGGGCAGGAAGTGTAGCCTGGTGTAAACCTGAATAGAAAATGCTCTGTGCTCAGTGCACGAGTCTACGCTCACCTTCTTGTTCCTGATCAGGGTCTTCCTGCCTGATCTCATCCGGTAACTACATAAGGTGCAGGTGGGCAGGGTGCCTAACTTTATGGCCAGTGTGACAGCATAGGTCTGGACACCAATCATGGTGCTATGGTCTGAATATGTGTGTCCCCTCAAAATTCATATGTTGAAATCTAATTCTCAATGCAATAAATAGTAAGAGGAGGTGGGGCCTTGAGGAAGTGATTAAGTTATGAGGGTGGGGTCCTTGTGGATGGGATTTGTGCCCTTACATCAGAGGCCTGAGGGAACTCGTTTGCTCCTCCCACCATGTGAAGGCACAGCGACAAGGGGCCACCTATGAAGAATGGGCCCTCACCAGACACCAAACATGCTGGCACTAAGATCTTGGATTTCTCAGCTTCTAGAACTGTGAGAAATACATTTCTGTTGTTTATAAGTTACCCACTCTAAGGTATCTTTATTATAGCAGCCTGAATGGACAAAGACAGTGGTCCCCAACTTTTTTGGCACCAGGGACCAGTTTAATGGAAGACAATTTTTCCACAGATGGGGTTCGGGGTAGGAGGTGCTCAGGCAGTGATGTGAGCGATGAGAAGAGGCTATAAATACAGAGGAAGTTTCACTTGCTCGCCCACTGCTTACTTCCTGCTGTGTACAGCCCCCTGGTTCCTAAGTTTCATGGAAGACAATTTCTCCACGCAGAGGGGTTGTGGGGACAGAGCTCTGAGAGCCAGGCTCTAGCAGGCCACAAACTGGCACCAGTCCTCAGCTCGAAGGTTGGGGACCTCAGGACTAAGACACATGTTATGCATTGGCCAAAACCAGCAGCAGGGTGCTGGGCACCCCTGTTTGCTGGACCTTTCAGAGACACATGGCTATTTCCTTAATTGTGCCCTGGCGAGGGCTGAGGTCCGACAGGCTGTGACAGATCCAGACCTTGCACAGACCCTTTTTTGCAATGAAGTAGGTTGAGAAGCTACACAGTTTGACTGGTGAATCTCGTCACAAACACAGCATGCCACAGAACCCAATATTCCTCAAAGGCACTTGATCCTTGGCTGCACTTGAAAGCCAAGGCTGTATCTTGAGAACTTTGTTTCAAAACTTAGCTGTTGCAGCCATAGTGGTAAAAAGTCAAGAGTCATCCACTGGACATCCCCACTGGTGGCACAGCCCACCTGTCAGGGAAGAATGTGACTGCCACAATGGAATAGTATATGTTGTGCCCAGAACCCCCTCCCTGTGCAGACACCCTGGGCAGGGCACACCCATGCCAAGCCTGACAGCTGCCCTGTGCCCACCACGCCCTTGGGGCAGGGTTCTGCCCAGCCCCTCCTAGCAGCCCAGCTGTCCCCATGGAGGAACAACGCATGGGCCTGTGGGGAACCTGTGTACCCTCAAAGATGTCTGGGGAAAGCTACAAAAAGGCTAAGTTCAAAGTGCCATGTGAACACACTATACCAAGGTGAAATTGTTCCAGGAGAAACTGTCCCCCCACCCACCAACTTCTGTTCTCTTGTGGCCAAGCCCTGGCCCAGAACAGGCCATCTACTCTGGCAAGGCCTGCCCAGGTAACAAGCTCAGTGGAAACTGTCTATGTGGCCTCAGGCTAGTGGCCAGAGACACAGGTCAGGACCCTTACTCCTAGAGCCTGCTATACAGGTGACTTTGGAAGGGAGCGAGTCCCTGAAACTATAGCTTTTCCATCAGACCTCAGCTCTGGCCAGCCACAACAGAAGCCATGGCCGCTTCTGCTGGCCCCAACTAGAGCTTCCGGCTCAGCCCACCCCACCCAGTCTTCCCCGAGTTTCCCAGCTTCAGAGACGCATGGCTATTGCCATGTGAGCTCCTATGCTCCTATTGCCATAGGAGCAACGGCCCCCTTTTCTGCAGGGCCTTTCTGTGCAGATGTTGTTCTTACACCTTCCTTCTGAGTGGGCAGCCCCTGGCTGGGCCCTGGGGATAGAGACTAGGGTGGCCTGGTCTTTACCATCCAGATACAAGCTGAAATCCGAATCGTCCCCCCCCCTCCCCAAGAAAACATGTTAAAGTAACGCAGCTGCACACTGCTGCCCATGCTGATAGCCACCACCCTGCTGAGCCTCAGGCCAGTGTGCTCGTTCTACTCGCCCAATGCTGCCGCTCCCTGGCCAGCAAGGCCAGAATGCAGGCGGAACTTCAGAAACATATTCTGAGCGGACTCAACCCCACGTTGTATCAGTACTGACCTAGAGCCCACTCTGGGCCATGAAGAGGAAGGCCTGGGGGTGCAGGGGGGACAGCAGGATTTCTCCTGGGAGTGTGGTCTGGGGCCTAGCAGTCTCCAGACTCAGGAACAGTGTCCCCACATGCAGGAGTGGGCATCTGGGGACAAGGGCAAGGTCGGCTGGTGGGAGGTGTCTGAGAGTGGACAGCGGTGGCTCTCCTGAGTCCTGGTTGCCTCTCCCGAGGAGGACACAGTGTTCCTCTCGCTCCCTGGGCCCTGACACGCCCCGAACCAAGAGGGTTCCGTTGAGG